GTAGTTATTCAGAATGTCAGCAATCCAAACCAATACTAGGGCACAGCTATACTAACAGAGGAAAATTACTCCTGAAAAAGGACTTAAAATATCAAATGCCCATTGACGCTGGCATTGGGGGGGGGGCAACCTGCAAAATACAAGCCTCACAAAATTCTCATTATATGCATTGTTATTCCTGTTTTATAGAATAGAAAAACTAAGCCCAGGAATGTTAAGTAACATTGCCCAGCGAGACACGACTTATTAAAGAAAGATCTAGGATTTGAACTCAGGATTCTCTAGATACAAATTCCGTGCTCTTTCCTCTGTTTCGTGCAATGTCTCCAGTGACAGGTAGCCGTCTAAAAATTTGTCTGATTCACTCTGATTGGTGTCCTCAGGTCTTCGCCTAAGCTGTATAGCATAAAATAAGGAAGCAGCTATGAGCAGCAGTTGAAACATCTTCAAAGAAGCAACTAAAATACATAAAGACAGAAAAAAACTATAGCTAGCATTGCATATTATACTTTCTAACTGATTTTCACACGCATCACGTCTACCGATCATCATGGCGCAGTGAGGCGGTTGTAACTATCCCCGCTTTGCATTGAAGCGAAGTGCCTGTCACCGTGCTTCAGTGCACGGGCACAACAGCCAGGAGTCTCTCAGGAGTTTCTGAATGTTTCAGTGTTTTACAGCGTGGCGTCATCAGGGCTGGTCAGGCACAATTTGTATTCGGTATCTGCTGATGAGTAAGAGCAAATTTTAAAGATCTGCACCAGAAATGTTTAGCCTACAGAAAGTTTCTTCTTTGAGAAAGAATCATCAATATATGGGGAAAAAAATCACTTTTGAGGAAGAGTTCACTCCTTCACAACGCATAGGTCCTACATTTCTTTCCTCACATAACACAAATCCAGCTCCGATTTTTGTTCATTAAACTTCTACGTGGATAGTTCTACCTATTCCATGTGACATAAAATAACTATTTATAACCACATAAAGAGTGAGAATTACACAGGAGCATTAATACGATTACGTTCCCTAAACTGTTATTAAGAAAAACTCATCCGGGGATGAGTCACAATCAGACCCACTGGCTCCCTGCTCAGAATTCTCTTCTACTTTGCCTAGTCCTGGAACCCTGCCTTCTGGAGGGGAAAAGTCAGCTAGCTACTGAGAAAGAAGTGCAGGTCTACTGGGAGCTTGGACCTCCACCCCAGGTAACCCTCAGATGGCCTGCAAATGGTACTGAGAGCATCGATAATTCTATCACTAATCAATTCCCCAAATTTGCCACTGCAGTAAGACGACTGTTACTGGCAAGTAAGTAGTATCCCCACAGGGCTGAGGGTGTGCTCTGCTCAGCATCAGACTTTTCAGCTGAGTGGACAATCTGGTGTAACAGTGGCATGCTGGGAGCAGGGACACTGGACGCCAAAGCTCCCCTGGTCCTGTTGGTAACTTCATTTCCCAAACGTTCATAATTAAACAGCTTTTATTGAAGTAATCAGCATGAGCTCCTTAGCTTTGTTTTTGCAACCGGTATCGTGTTTATGGAGCCAAATATTAGAGACTTTGATACTGAATACCTCCTCGGACGTGTTAACGTTGGCAGGGGCTCCAGATTCTGAAGATGCCGGGCTGCCTCGGCACAGCCGCCCCTCCAGCCTCCAGCTCATCGGCCCCCCCAAACCACAAAGCAGCAGTTCTCCTGTAAGACTCACTTACAATATTTCTCCTGAAAGGCCCAGGGAATGGCGTGCAATTGAAACAGGGTGAAATGTGATCTCAAAGTGTCTGTCGGACCAGAAGTTTTCAAAGAAAACATTTCTTAAATCTCGCGCTCACTGCTGTTTCAGCAGGCCAATTAGATTGGATGGGACTTGGGGGGAGCTGTCGCCAGTCACTGCAGCAGGAATAGCAAACAAGACTTAAAGCAAATAAACGAGCCCCAAACTGGCATCCCAGGGGCCCCTGGCCAATGACCTCCTTCACTCCCCAGGCGGGATGGCCAGCCCACCCTCTGGGACCCAGGGCTGAACTACAGGTTAATCAGATGAGACACTGGTTAGCAGCCTCGATTACTAGAAAGTAATTAATCAGGGAAAGTCTCCAAACAGGAGAAGAATAAATAAACACCGGGCACATGCGGTCCCATTTGGGCTCTAGATAAGACTGCCATCCAGGTGTCCTGCTCCGGAGCGCCCATTTATCTTGCTCCGGTCCTCCGAGGAAACGTGGTGACACTTCTCACATCTGCCTAGAAAATGCAAAGCCAAGAGGGCTCTGAGTGGGAAGAAGATGAGGGACTTTGGAAAAACTATTAGAGGAAAGGCTGGGGGGTAAGTGGGGGTTGTGGTGAGCCTTGCCCTCCCTGCATGTCCTTTTCCATTCTATGCAAACTCTGCCTTAGTTCCACCTTTCAAAAAAAAAAAAAAAGGTTGTGTGGTTTTGCAAACTCCTACTCACTTAGAGAAAACCAGGAGCTCAAGTAGTGTTCTTAGGTCTGGGCATAAGGAGCCTACAGGGTCACTGGCACCTCGAGCATCTATTCAGCTTCAGAGACTCGGGACAAGCTACAGAGGATTCAGATCATCCGAAATGACTAGTTTATTCTTCGACATTGACTTAGGGAAGAGGAAGATTAGGAAGGAGGGGAAGGAAATGTAGTTAGTGCAAGTGGAAAGTATCAACCATTGGTCCAGCTTGACCTGACACGTCATATCAAATAAGGTCATTTGTTTACGTTGCATCTCTTTCCTTCTGGAGGAACAAAAAATGTCAGCAGCTAGAGAATGTGCGTAATGTAAACACGGCTGTGTTAGCTCAGCTTCAGGGAAAGCACATCCCAACGTAAGTCAGCGCGAGACATCCTCTGCTCCGAGGACAAGCACAATGATTTTAACCTAATGACCCGCTCTTAAACAGCTCTACAGCAAATCACAATTAAATAAATACCACTTAATAGCAGAGATTTGTTTTACTGCTAGATTATTTGTGGGGAGAGATGGAGAAGGTTGAATGAGCCACTTAATCTTTAATTATAAAATTAAGGTAGTTTCCAAATACTATTATGAATTCAACCTCCAACTAAATTTACAAAATGTCACAGCAATAAGTTATAGGCATTCTGGAACGAAACAGAGAAGCAAGGGAGGAGAGGTGTGGAGGTATACCAAAAATTGAGGTTGCTTTGGTTTGTTGTCTTAAGCTGAAGTTGAGTCTAGTGGCCTTTCTTCAGCCCAATGATGAGAACTATGTGGTCAGAGCCACTGAAATCATGGCACGGACACCAGTGAATGAGTTGCTGTGGAAAACTGCAGAACGGAGGGTCAGGAGAGCTGCAGTCAAGGCCTGGCTCTGCCGGGCCCTGGAGCACCAGGAAGGAGTCAGCTGGAATAGGGGAGGGAGAGCTATTATAGCTCGTGGCTGACACTGAGAGATCGGGAAAGCACTTGCGGGATCCGGTGACCTGGGCAGCCCTCCCCAGAGAGGGCCTCCAGGCAGCACAGACACCTCCTTCCCTCCAGGGCCCAGCCTCCCTCCCTCCCCGCTTCCTCCCTTCTCTGCAAAGCCTCACCTCACCCTCTTTGCTTTTTCTGTCCCATGACCTAACTGTGATATTTTCAATGTCTGATTTTCTCACGTAGGCACCAACACAAATACCTCTGGGCAGGTGACCTGAGGGCGACGCATCACACTTTCATCTTGCCCCCCAACAGACCTGTACAACCACAACAAACTGACAGTGGTGTCCCCGGGAAAACTGGGGCTCAATCGAAAGATGAGTCTTGCAAAGACTTTTCCTCTTGATGCCTCAAATGGTCCCTAGAAAGTCCAGACTTTCCAAAAATAGCTATGAGTTAACTTCTCTGGTTGTGGAGGTCAAAAAAGGCACTCACGCTGATGATGAGGCCAAAGTCTTTCACTAGGACACAGCAAAGCCCGCTAGACGGTGGGCATCCCTCAGGAGCTCTGCCTCCCCCAAGTCACCTCCTCTAAAGTCACCACTTAGCCACTCACTGATGATGTCAAGGCCTCCGTGAGAGCAGAAGCCACGTTTTCTCCACCAGGACACCTAGAACGAGGCCTGAACCCAGTAGCTGCCATCTGTTCCACTTTAGCAAGCAGCTGCCTGGACCAGGTACTCTGCTGTCTCAAAACATGCAGACAAATTAAATTCAGCCTCTCCTATAAAGAAACTGATAAGGAAGACAAGAATATAAGGAGATCACCATAATCCTAAATGGCACATGCCATGTCAGCTTGGCTGATGAATAGGTATCTCTTTCCTTTAATCCATGTCAAATAATCTCCAAGTCTTGTTGATTTTTAGAAATCGCTCGCTGAAGCAAAACCTTAGCCAATGGCCCTTCCCTGAGGGTTGCTTGAACAGGAGTTCAAAGTCCAAGATGGAGATGATCGTCCTAAATCATGGTGATGTGTTCAGACTGTACTTGGAGGCCCCACACTGGCAGAAGGACCCTGACAGATGAGAACATGTTCAAGGGACAAAGAACAAGATGGTGACCAAACCCCAAACCATGACTAAGAGGGAACTGCTGAAAGAGAGCCAACGGGGGTCAGCTGGGCAAAGAAG